TGTAATTTTCATTTTGATAATGCTCAGCACTTTTCTAACCTCAACTCTTTGAGACAGATAATGCCTATTTTCCAATTTAGTAAACTGAGGTTCTAAGAGGGGACACAGTTTGTTTGTTTGGTCAGATATCCTGATTCCAGGCTCAGTGCTTTTTACAATACACCAAAGACAAAATCACCTGGTGCAGTGTGCCTAGAGGGAAGGACAGAGACACCGAGTTACAGAAAAAAAGATGTTTTTTTGTTTGCTTGTTCGTTTTTGCTATGCAGAATATATATGTAGATAGCTAGCTAGATAGATAGATATATTGCTACAGAAAGATGTATCTAAGAATATCTATTCCTATATCATTTAAATCTATAACCTATACTTCTCTGTCTCTCTCTGTCTCTCTCTATCTATTGCAAATCCTCTTTTATTTGGGATTGAAAATTCCAAATAAAAATTGGGTAATTCTGCATGTGTATCAGTTCAGGGGGTTAGGTATTTACCCTGATTTTCTAGCTTGTATAGAATAAAATTGTGTAAAGCCACTTGTGAAGTAGATAGATCATTCATCATTTCTTCAGTGAAATCAAATATTAGGGCAGAATGGAATGTGTAACTATCCTGTGAATCTGCTGTACTTACACACAGTATAAATCAGTGTCTGTGGTGTTATGGGTTGATTTTCATTGCCTGAATTCTCTATACTTCAACTTATATAAGGAAATCTATCCATATACTGTATTATATTATATAGTATAAGAACACATGTTATATTATGTTATAATTTTATTATGATATATGTTATTATTATATGTGCATAGTATAATATATAATAGAAGATGTACTGTTTTGATATAGAAATAAGGTCAGGGAATAAAGAGACCACTGCCATATTATTTTGCCATTACAGACAGAATGAAGACATTAGACCCCATGATTTCTGAGATCACTTTCAGGTTTGACAGTCAATATTCTAAGTTCCCTTCTAACTTGAAATTCTATGATCTATGTTCCCAACTCCCTTCTAGCTTGGGTAGTCTGTGTCCTAAGTTTCCTTCTAGCTTTTACTTTTTATGTTCTAAAGATCCTTCCAAATCTGGTATTCCATTTTAAGATCTCTTGTAGCTCTGATTTTCTATGTTCTATGAACATTTCCAGTATTGCCATTCTATGTTCCAAGGCCCTCTCCAGTGCTGATTTTCTCTATTGTAAAGTCCCTTCCACGACTGATATTCTATTTTCTAAGATCACTTCCAGTTCTGACCTTCTATGCTCAAAGGGATAACTTTTATGTTCTTCTATGATTTCCAAGCCTGTGCTTCACTATCTCCTTTGACAACTATTTAGAATCAGACAATGCATAATTTTGTATAATTGCCCTTTTAGAGACTTCCCAGGACATGGATCCCTGAGGGGTTAGGGGTCTAACACCTCTGACTATACTCTGGTAGCACTCTGGGGATGTAAGAACAGATATATAAAGTTTGTGGTAACCATAGATTTAGGTTCCATTGTGATGTGAGCACTCCTACAGTCGTTGGTAAGTTTTTTATTCCAGTGCCCAGGATAGAACACACACACACACACACACACACACACACACACACACACACACCCCATCTTGTTTTTACAACAAGATTTCCCCCTTCAAATTGGAAAAGTACAAACCTGTTTATATAGTGAGATCTGAACTTAAGGCGTAAGGCCTTTTCTGTCTTGAAATATGTCCTCCACTGACCTGTCTTGGTATATAAAATTCCATTGGACTTACTTATTACTCTGTCATTGTCACCTAAGAAAGTCAAAGTTAAGATACAAAATTATCACTTCAGAGGAGCAACATGGTAGCCCATTCATGCTCACCAACTATACCACGTATGATGGAATTAGATTTGGTGTCAGAGGCTAAGGACTCTAGGGATGCAGGAGAAAATTTTTGATGTATAATAGAAGGTTTCCACAACATGGGACAGTGGCCAGATTAAGATTTCCCAATATATTTTTAAAAGGCGTCACTGAATAGGCAGCTAGTAGGTAAGAGAACATTAGGAATTAAGGATTTGGGAGGCAGGCACGAAGTAAAGGTCTGCAAGAGATAAAAACAAGCCTTGAATTCCTCACAGTCACATAGACTCTCTGTATTCTGAAACTGACTTATAATCACCTTTTTTTTTTCTAAATCCTGGCACATCTGATGGAGAAAGAAGCAAGAATCTGGAAGTTAGAAATTATTGCTTTGTTCTTCAATTTTTTCTTCTAGTTAGTCCACTTAGAAATTTCATGCTTACTCAACCTTGTTCTTCATTCAAGTTCTGCAAGATTCATCAAAGCACCTTTAAGAGCTTCAAAGACATGTGAATCTTCCCTATTTAATCCCACACACATTTGTTACTCATGACAGAAAAGAACATTTAGCTGGAGAGATAAAAGACAGGAGGAGTGTGAGGCATATGGGTTAGTGCTGAGAAAGAAGGACCCTCGTTAGCATCCACAAGAATTTCTCAATGCTGGAGAGCAAGATGCATTCTCGGTAACTTGTGCAGACATGGGAAAGGCTGCGCTTCCTTTTTCTATCTGTGGATAATTTCTGACTGCTTCTCTGGGAATATGAGGCTTGGAGATGGAAGAAACATGATAGTGTAACCCAAATATGGTTGGGTTGACTCTTGTTAGATTTCCTGAGGTTAAGCAGAGTTCTGGGTTCCTTTCCCAGGATGATATGGATGTGAGTAAGACCTCGCTACATGAAGGATTGCCTTAGTGTGGGTATGACATGTGACATAAAAGATCATAATCATTCTAATAAAAATTCAAGATACATTTATCATATGCTGACAATGTGCAAGGTGAATCAACAGTCATTTATTAATTGTCTACTTTGTGTCAGTTAGAGACAGAATGCTGGGTATTAGGCATACCCATCTAAAAAAAAAGTCTCTACCTTTAAAGAGCTTACATCCTTCAGGGTCAATATGACATACCAGAAGATGTGTAAATAAAAACAACAATGTAAGAGTGGGGTCAAAACCACCCACTTTACTCCATTTTAGCCTTTATATTGTAACTAGGTAGATCATAGTTTTAGACTAAGGGCAAAAAAAAAAAATCTTTTCAACTGGAGAGATACTGTACAAGATTTGTGTTTGGATAGCTCAAAGGATAGTGCCACACCCAGGAATCACCTATGAATAAACAACCTAGAAAGCTGGAGTTATTGAAAGGTTGAACAGGTATGGTTTTTGGCAAAATCTCCTGATAAGAAACTGCTTTAGGAGAAAAAAAGAGAAGCTTTAGCTTCAGCTTCAGTCCTGGTGTCTTTCTCTGTCCCTATTACATCTTTGGCTGGAGGATATCTTTGTAAGTTTCACATGTTCCAAGGATGCTGGAGACCTATTATCTTCCTATAATCAATGTTCTAGCTGCATTCCCTAAATCAACTGAGAATAGCGTCTGTATGAATAGTCTATATCAAATGGATACAGATTCACTGTGATGAATGTAACATTCTTGAGCATCTCAGAAATGGGAGAAGGAAAAAAAAAACATTCCAGGATCTAGGATCAGTGAGTTCCCTTTTGTCACATGTATTATTCAAACTGCAGCCCAGTATCCCTTGAGCTGTGTGAGAAAGTGTATCATAGATGTGTGTGTGTGTGTGAATGTTTGTACCAACTGTTCTTACTGTCCTACCTTGGTAAGTAACAATTTCTAAGTCTTGCTAATAGAATGCTTCTCAGATTATCTTCAGGGGGAACCCCCTCATGGAGACTAGAATCAATGACATTAGAGAAAGACACCCCTTACCCTTTTTTTCCTCTTCCTTCCTTGCTTCCTTCCTTCCTTCCTTCCTTCCTTCCTTCCCTCTTTCCTTCCTTCCTCCTTCCTCCTTCCTTCCTTCCTTCCTTCCTTCCTTCCTTCCTTCCTTCCTTCCTTCCTTCCTTCCTTCCTTCCTTCCTTCATTCTTCCTTTACTACCTTCTTTCCTTCTTTACTTCCCTTGCTGTTTTTCTATCAAAGGGTTTGAGAACCTATATAGGCATCTATATATTCTGATTAGACATTAGACTAGGACTTTCCTAGAAGGGAAGTAAAATCTATTAATTTGGAATAACTAAGAAAGAAAGCCATTCAGAATTAGCGAAGTTTCAACTGTAGACTATTTGAAAATAAGGTACATTAGTAACACTGAGAATTTTTAAGAGATCTGTATGAAATAATAGTGTATTAAAATATAAAATTATAGACTCATAGATTGTTAGGACAGAAGAGCCCATAAGGACCACATTCCCAGCTCTAACATTTCACTGATCAATAACATGAGGCTCAAAGAGAGGAAATGAGTTCCATAAGGATCTCTTGATGTATTAATTAAAAGTGTTGATTTTTATATTAGCTTCCTCTTCATGGAAAGGCTTGCCACACACACAAAAATCACATTTTCTCACATAGGCAATCAAGTTAATTGAAAGGGTATTTATTCACTGGGGCTATGCTCTCAGCTCTGAGACAATTTCTGTTGATAGATATGAGCAATGGAATCCCATGCATTGATGTCTGCATGATCTCTGTTTTCATTTGGCTGGAGTTGTGTGAAAATTTCCCATAGATGTGATAGTACTCAGAACATTATGTGGGTGTTGCAAAATGTATGGAGTTTGCTTACCATGTTGTCAAATATTCTTATAAAAGAGGTGAAATGTTGATACGAAACTGACAACAAAATCAAACAATCACAGAATTTGAGAGGTGGAAGGGACCATGTGGAGATGTAGTTCAACTCATATGAGAAATGAATCTTGACTAAAAACATAACTGACAAGTGGTTGTCTAGCTGTTGCTTGAGGAATTCCAAAAAGAACCAATCCACCACTTTTTAAGGCAGCCTATCCTATGTTTGGATGGCTCTCATTATAGGGATATATTTCCTGACCACAGGTCTAAATTGTTCTCCTTGTGAATTCTACCCATTACTCCTGATTTGACCCTCTGAGGCTAAACAGAACAAATCTGATCTCTCCTTCACATGATAGCCCTTCAAATACTTGAAGATAGCCATCATGTCTACTCCCTGCCAGCACTGAGTCTTTTCTTCTCCAAGCTAAACATCCCAAATTCCTTTACCTGATCCTCATATGATACAGACTCTGGGCTCTTCACTATTCTGGCTATATTCCTCCATCAAAATACTTTTTAAAACTATGGCCCTTAGAACTTGATACAATACTTCGCTTACTAGCCTCAGCCCATTATGAAGTTCAGTATTTCTGATGCTATTTTGAAAGAACCATTTCAAGGTATTGTATTTATCAAATGAGATGATGAATTTAATATGCTCTGTAAAACCTAAAGCTTTGCATAAATGCAGTTATTATAATTAGTCTTTGTTTTAATCTCTTACTTCCATCTTTGTATTTCTTTGAAAAAATATTTATTGATTAATGAGATTATATATACTTATGTACATACACATGCATGCATACATACATATGTTTGTGTGCATTTTAGACACACACACTTATGCTTACATCAGTCTATTCGTGTGAATGCCATTTTCTCTGGCTGTCCCTTATGCTGGAGTACTCTCCCTCATTTTTGCCTACTGCCTTTCCTGACTTTTTGTAAGTCTTAACTGAAGTCCCATTTTCTACAGGAAGCAATATTTGCTTATTGTCTCCCCATTAAATTGTCAGTTCTTTTAGGGTATACACTGTATTTTGTCTTTTTGTATACTCAGAGTTTAGCACAGTGCCTGACATGTAGTAGGCAGCTAACACATATTTATTGACTGACTAACTCCTAAAAGAAATCATTTTCCTTCGCACCTTCTGAATTTCATTCTTAATTGCCTCTTGGGCTAACTTCCCTGGTAGCACTTTTTTGGGATCCTACCATTCTTTCTTCTAAACCTTTTGAAATCTGCTTTCCTAAAATCTTGGGTATAGTTGCTGACTGACTTTATTTGTAACAAACTCTGTGAAGAAGATTTCTTTTCCTCCAAAAGATCACATCATTTTGTCTGTAATACCACTTTCCTTATTACTGAGAATTAGATCCAGATGAGAATGTTCCCTTGTTTGTTCTTCCACTTTTTGAAAGATGAAACCGTTGCTAAGGCAAGTCAAGAATTCATTAGCTTCTCTGTTTCTTATGGAGAGAAACATTCATTAAATGTCCATATAATAAAAGGCTGTATCACTATTCTATTTCTGTTCAAGTGTTCTGTAGTCTGCTCTAATGACTCTCTGATCTATTCTCCACTGAGCTCCATTCCAAAACTTCCCATCATTCTTACTCCCCTCTGATTCTTGTGTCATGGGTTATATGCCACCAAGTCTCAGTGAGTGAACTCTCTCTCTCTCTCTCTCTCTCTCTCTCTTTGCCTGTGTGTATATATACACACACATGTATATATATACATATGTATATATATACATACATATACATATACATACATACAAACACATATCAATGTGTTTCAATTTGTCTGCTTTTGTCATGACCTCTAGTTCCCCTTTTTTGTTGCCTAAAATTTGGACATTTCAATATGGGCATTTGAGGCCATGCATTTTATTAATGGACCTTGTCTTTGTATTAACTCTCTAGTACCAAACTTGAGTGATATACATAGGGAGTCATCTCCTCCCCCATCCTTTATCATTTCAAGTCATTTTAATTGGATTTGTGTAAGTCTTGGCAAATCAGTTCTTGTCAGACTTTATGAGATATACTCTATTGCTAGCCAGGATTTACTCATCCCTATATTTTAAGCCATCATACAAATTGCATTCTCAGAAATCAATTATTGAATAAATATGTCAGGCACTGAGCTGTTGCTTTTTTTGTAATTTCAGTGCTTAGTCCAAGAATGAGATGATGAGGGTCTGCAGTGGAGTGGTGGCAGTGTCAGAGGAGAGAAGGGAGTGTATGTGAGATATTATAAAGGTAAAATTGACAGACCTTGGCAACAGATTGGACACGTGGGAATGAGAGAAAAGGAGGAGTGAAGGATCAAACCTCTGTTGTGAGCTGGAAAGACTTCCTAGCCAGTTCTTCACTTCTCAAATTGATGATTCTCTTCTCTAAACTTTGTTTCTAGTAGGAAGGAGTGAGCAAAACATAGTCTATCTACACAGACCCATAATTCATGCCCAAGATTTCCTAATGAAGTATTATTTTTGCCCACGTGAATTATTAGAAGTGTCTAGTTGTCATTCATGTTGATAACTCTAAGGTGATTCTTTGCTGTCTTGGATAGAAGCAGACTTTTCTATTGCTTTTAGCAGACCAACAATAGCGATCTCAATATTTGTGAGGCTGAATCAATGAATACTGAACACCCTTGACCTTTTCTGCTTGCTTCTGCAGCTCTGCACTACTGCTGTTTGGAGCACAAGCAGCTTCTTGTTACTCTCAGCATTTCCCCCTTCCTCTTCAGGAAAAAGTCAAGGATATTTTTTATCTGACTCTATTAGTATCTTTTTTTTCCATCTCTTTCTCCTGTGTGTAATATTTTTCCACTCCAACATCCTGATATCTTTAGCTTTAAAAATTAATTGTGGATATTTATATGTGAATCCTGTGAATTATCACCTCTCATTAATTTCACATCCCACTCAGTTTCCTTTCATTAGTCTCAACAAGTCAATAGCTATATTCCACCTCTTCTTCAGCCTGGCACAAATCACCCTCTTAATTTACCAGTTTTCACCCCTTACCAATCTCCTCTATCAATTTTAGTCTACTCTTTAATTTTCCACTTACCATATATCATTTAGCTTGCTTTGTATTGACAACTACCTTCTTTTTCTTCCTTCATCTTCCATTTCAGGTTCTGAAGTAATTTGTAATTTACTTTTCATAAACATTGATGTTCTAAGCAAGACTTTTTTTTCTCTTCCACAGATAATGGAGCCATAGAATCACAGAAATGAAGAGTTGGAAGAAGTCAAATACAACCTGGTCCAGTCCATAATAAATGGTCATACAACTTCCTGAAAATGACCTCTGCCAGGGATTTCATTATATTCCAAAGCAAATATTCTAATTTGAAAAAGTTTTAATTCCTAGGAATTTTTCCCTTATATATGGAGAAAGTAAATCACACTGTAACTGAGTTCATTCTGGTGGGTTTTACCACAGACCCTGTGATGCAGGTGCTCCTCTTTGCACTGTTCCTTCTAACATATTGCATAACTGTGATGGGGAATATTACTCTGATTATGTTAATTTGTACAGACTCCCGGCTCTACACAGCCATGTATTTCTTCATTGGGAACCTGTCTTTTCTGGATCTCTGGTATTCTACTGTTTATACCCCTAAAATCATGTTGACATGTGTGTCTGAGGACAAGAGTATTTCCTTTGCTGGTTGTCTAGCTCAGTTCTTCTTCTCAGCTGGGCTAGCATATAGTGAATGTTACCTGCTGGCCACCATGGCATATGACCGTTATGTAGCCATTTCTAAGCCACTGCTCTACACTCAGGCTATGTCCCCAAGATTATCTTCCTATCTTGTAGCAGCTTCTTATACTGGAGGTTTCATTAACTCCATCATCATTACATGTGAAACATTCACCCTGACTTTCTGTGGGGATAATGTTATTGATGACTTCTTCTGTGACCTACCTCCCCTGGTGAAGCTGGCATGTGATGTGAAGGACAGTTACCAGGCCGTGCTCTATTTCATCCTAGCTTCCAATGTCATCACTCCCACTGTGCTCATCCTGGCCTCCTACCTCTTCATCATTGCTGCCATTTTGAGGATTCACTCTACGCAGGGCAGACTTAAAGCCTTCTCCACATGTGGCTCCCACCTGACAGCTGTGACCCTGTACTATGGTTCCATTCTCTTCATTTATTCCCGTCCTAGTACTAGCTACTCTCTGGAGAGGGATAAGATTGTGTCTGTGTTCTGTACTGTGGCAATGCCCATGTTGAACCCAATGATCTACAGCTTCAGGAACAAAGATGTCAAAGATGCCTTGAAGAAAATGTTAGATCAAATACGAGTTTCCTAAATAGAAGTTGTAATGGAGAAAAAGAAATTAAAAAAAAGTATATGCACTCTTCATTATAAAGTTCTCTCAAAAATTAAAAAAAACCTTTTTTTTTGGATACAGTAATCACTCTACATCTTTGGTTTAAAACTTTATATTGTATTAACATGTCAGCTTGATTGCATTTATTAATGTCTTAGGATATAAGGAGGCTCAGTTTTCTCCTTTTTGTTTATTATGGTTTTCACTATTTGAAAGAAGGAAGAACCATAGTTATTATCTACTTCTACCCATTCATTTAAAAATAATAATAAATAAATTCATGCCTTTTATGATTAACCCAACTATTTCTGAATCAAATCATTCTTCATTAAATAAAAAAATGATCCAGGAAACCCACCTGTTACAGTGATCACTTTTGACAGCATATAAACATCCTTCACTTGTGGTCTTACAACCTATTCTATGAAGAGAAAGAAGATGTTTTTCACCTTCTGTTCTTCAGGACCAAGATTGGCCTATTATAATTAATTATGTATATTGATCTTCACTAATAAGAAGAGAGTTCCATGCCAATGGGCCTTGAGACTTCGGTAAAATATTATAATATTGTTTTATGTCATATTTAATTATAATTACATCAATATTTTGGCTTCCTTTTAATGCTATTTTATTAACATTTTAGTCGTCTGGGTACATTATTTCCTATTTCTGCATTTTAAAATTCTATATCATATCATAAAAATCTTCCAAACTTTCTCAGAATTTCACATAGCAATTATTTCCTTTCAGTATAATATTCCATTATATTTTTAGGCAATGGTTTATTCAGCCTTTTCTTAGTGAATTGGCACCCACTTTTTTTTTTTTAGTTTCTCACTACCTTCGAACTTCTTCAACCTATTAATTTCACAAAGGGAGTCACTGAAATCCAGAGAGATGAGCTGACTTTTTCAAGATCATGCAAATAATAAGTGGCAGTGCTAAGACTCAAACCCGTGTCTCCTTATTCCCGGTTATAAATTCTTTCCATCTGAGACATGCATCTCAGAAATAAAAATGAGAAAGTGGGTAAACAAGACTATGGAAAAAGAAAGAAACAACCAGCACTCCCTACTCTGTCCTCATTTCAGGAAGGTAATACCCAAATTTCCCAAAAGAATGGCAAGAACAACACCAATGACACCCACATAAACTCAACCAAGAGCAAGTTAAAACAGAGACATAGAATAAATGTCAAGTGGGTTTGTTTATTTAAAGCAAAGACTCAGGATAGTGAGTCTTTATCTGAAAGCTTCCACAAGGAATTATACAAAGCTAATCCTCAAAGAGTCCAAACTTACTGAGTAGTGCTAAATGGTAAAAATTGTGCAATGAAGCTGCATAAATGGAGCATCTACTTCAGCTCATTATGTTTCCCAAACTAATAGATAACCAATCCCAATAACTATAAATATAAAGAAGTGGGCCTGGATCTGTTGTTTCTTGGTCTAGGAAATTCTGTGAGCAAAGAAATTGCCTCTACTAAGATGAGTTGGCTTCTTCTATGCAACTTATTCTCTTAAAGGGTTGATTAGAGCCACTCTTTAAGGGGATAAAAGACTGGTCTAGGTCACACAGCCAGTATATGTCAGAAGTGAGATTGGATCTCAGATCTTTTAGACTTTGAGAAAAGAAGGAAGGAGGGAAGGATTTACTGTATGGCAGGAGATATCTCGTTTGATGCTCATAATAACCCTGGGAGATAGGTATTATCATTATTATCTCCATTTTATAGATGAGAAAATGAGACATACAGAAGTTAAGTGACTTGCCGTGGGTCACACAGCTAGCAAGCGTCTGAGGCAAAATTTGAACTTGGATATTGACTCCAAGTCTAATGCTCTATCCGCCATACTAACTTACTACTTCTTTGAGGTTACATCTCTATCCACTATGCAATAGCAAGTCTCTATACCAACACGGAACCTCTCTCCTCCCTTGATAGTCTTTCTTTTAAATTTTCTTTTTTTATTATAAAATTCTCAGTTACCAACAAAGAGAAATATTTCAATATACAAAGAAGCAAAAAGAGGATTTTATATGAAACATGAACTTGTTATATACATATACAGATATGCATTTATTGTTTTTAAGAAATATAGAACAAAGTAGTAAGGAAACTGCCCTTTTGGTTTATGTATTCGTGAACTTTTTTCATTTTCTTCTACATAATTTAAAAAATAAGATCCTCTTCATTCCTCCCTTCATCTATCTCTCTTCATACCTCTCTCTTTTCCTCCTCTCTCCCTTCCCCCCTTACCCCTTCCCCCTTCCCCCCTTCCCCCTTCCCCTCTTCCCTCCTTCCCTCCTTCCCTCCTTCCCTCCTTCCTTCCCTCTCCTCCCTCCCTCCCTCCTCCCTCCCTTCCCTCCTTCCCTCCTCCCTCCCTCCCTCCCTCCCCTCCTCCCTCCCTTCCTTCCTCCTTCCTTCCTCCTTCCTTCCTTCCTCCTTCCCCTCCCTCCTCCCTCCCTCCCTCCCTCCCTCCCTCCTTCCTTCCTCCCTTCCTTCCTCCCTTCCTTCCTTCCTTCCTTCCTTCCTTCCTTCCTTCCTTCCTTCCTTCCTTCCTTCCTTCCTTCCTTCCTTCTTTCCTTCCTTCATCTGTAAAATGAAATGACAAACCACTCCAATATCTTTGTCAAGACCCCTAAATGCGATTATGAAGAATTGGATTCAACAGTGGATAGAGCTCTGGGCCTGGAATCGGGAAGTCTTTTTTTTTTTAAGTTTATTTTTTTTAGGCTTTTGGTGTTCAGTGACTTGCCCAGGGCCACACAGCTAGTACATGTCAAGTGTTTGGTCTGAGGCTGGATTTGAACTCAGGTACTCCTGACTTCAGGGGCGGGGCTCTATCTACTGTGCCACCTAGCTGCCCTTGGGAATCAGGAAGTCTTGAGTTCAAATGTAGCCTTAGACACTTACTAGCTATGTGACCTGGGCAAGTCACTTGATCCATTTGCCTCAGTTTCTTGATCTGTAAAATAGGGATACTAATAGCACTTGCCTCTTGGGGTTGTTGTGGGAAGCAAAGGGGATAATATTCGTAGAAGTGCTTAGAATAGTGCTTGGCATGTTGTGAGTGCTACTTAAATGTTAACTATTATTATTACACACATGAAGAAACTGAGGCATAAAGAGCTGAAATAACTCATCCAGTGTCACACAGCTAGTCTTAGGCTGGATTTCAATCTAGCTCTTCTTAACTTCAAGCCCAGAACATTCTCCCATTTGATGAAATTCAAAGTTTAAACCTGTTCCATGTCAGTATCTATTGTTTCTCAGAAGCATAAAAATTGAGGTTATTTCTATAGTTTGACTTGGTTTATGAATATGATGCACAATTAGTACATCTGAGATAGACCAAGCATATCTCAACTGAGTCCAACGATTTCATTTTTTTCCTGTTCTCTTTCGGAAAATTATTTTCCTTCTGTGTTACGACTGGTAGAATTAACTTTGAGTAGATGTGTCAAATCCAATTGCACACACCTATTTCATACCACCACCCAAGATCATGGAATCTTTTGGGCTATGATGCAGAAAGCATCATCTTATTATTACTCTCCTGAATTCTCTGATTTCAGTAAGAGAAGGGAAGTCATAAACTGATCAGCTTTGTAGACCATAATTCCCTGGTGTGGCCTATGTCCTCTTATGCATTAATTACTATGGGAGAAACCTCCCAAACCATGAGAAAACAGAGCATTTGATGCTTTTTGATACTCTAGGGCACCCAGAGCAAGTAGAAAAGGCTCCAAGATGAGCAAAATTGGATTGCATCAAAATGACAATACTTCTGGCGTTGTTGGTAAGTTGCATGATCCAGGGCTGCTGAAGCAGTAGAATTTTCTCTTTCATACAGTGGATGCTGGGAATCTGATTAGATGAAGCAGGCAGCTACCTGTATGGTGTGATGTGAGTGTCAAAGTTCTCTCTAAGCCCAGCTAGCTCAGCTTGCCACAATGCCTGAATTCTAACTATTTGAGGCATTTCTTTTGGGATAAGTCATTGAAACTATCATTCTCCAATTGCTGGTGAACCCCTCAATTTCCAGTTCTTTACCACCACAAAGAGAGTTGCTATAAATATTTCAGAACATATAGATTCTTTTCCTTTTTCTCTGATCACCTTGGGAAACAGACATAATAGTGGTATTGCTGGGTCAAAAAGACATACACAGTTTTACAACTCTTTGGGCATAATTCCAGTTAGCTCTCCAAAATGGTGGATCACTTCACAGTTCTACCAACAGTGTATTAGGTCCTAGTTTTTCTATATCCTTCCAATATTTGTCGTTTTCCCCTTCTATCAGTTTAGCCAATTTGACAGGTGTGAGATGATACCTCAAAGTTGTTTTAATTTGCATTTTGCTAATCAATAACGCTTTAGAGCACTTTTCCTTATGACTATATATAATTTTGATTTTTTCATTAGTTGAAATGCAAAGAAGTAGCACCCTTTTTTTCCTACCTTCCCTACAGTCAGATTTTCCAAACCTCTGGAAGATTGTCACAAACCCACAAGTAGATGGGAGTGGTCCATGAAAAGCTAGTCTAGCTCAAAACCCAGGCAGTAAAGCCCTCCAGATTGATTTTATCTGATTTATGTGCAACTCTAGTGTCTTTGATTTTCTCAATCCTCAACATTTAGTAGACTGAAAGGAGAAAATTAGAAGTTAATAGCAATTGGTATTAGGAAGTGACAGTAGTTTATACTGATAATCCTGAGAAATACCAGCTGTCAGGCACAAAACAGCAAAAGGAAAAATATTAAAAGCCAAAGAAAGAACAAATATCTGCTGTCTTGGTCCATTTGCTTTACAAACAAGCAGTCCTATGCTCCTTGATGAGGTAAGAAGCATATATTATTACACCAGGAAATAATTAATGTTCACAATGGCCATAGAACAGGCATGCAAAGTGCTGGGCTTGTTGTCAGACTCATTTTCCTGAGTTCAAATCTGGCTTCAGACACTTTCTAGCTG